TAAGCCCCAAACCCTACGAATATATTCTGAACCATCCCAATTTCCTTCGCCGCCCCTTCAATCCAATGTCCCACTAATTATAGTTTAGGGTTTAGGGTTTTAGGGTTTAGGGTTTAGGCTTTAGGGTCTAGGGGTTTAGGGTTTAGGGTTGTAACCCGGAAGCCCCGCCGAAACACGGATGAGAGGATGTCTCTGGTTCTTCGTTCTTCCAATCCGCACAGCACATTGCGAGCCCTGAAACCCTAAACCCCTTCACCCTACAGCCCCAAACCCTAAAACCCTAAACTCCGAATCCTCGTTGCCCGACCTATGGGACTTTTGCAGATGCTTTTCTGCATGTGCGAGAAGGGCCCTTTAAAAAAACAAAAAAAAGAAATCATGAACCCCTAAACCCTAATCCCTGAACCCTAACCCCTAAACTCCAAAAAAGCAAACCATGAACCCCCCAAGCCGGCCAAAGCGGCCAGGGACAGTCGGAAGATTGGTCCTTCAAGCCGTGGGCTCAGAGACAGCTCAGCTTGTTGGGTCGGCAGCGGGGCTCTGATCATGGCCTCTTTACGGCTCCATGGTACTTGGAGGGTCATGGGACTTAGTAAGTAAGGTTATAAGTCCCCTAATTGGGAGGTATAGGTACCTTAGTTATAACCCTACTTACTAAGTCCCATGATCCTTTAAGTAATTGGCTCGACAAGGCTTCACAAAAAATGGGTTCATAAGTGACGCTTCATTATATTGGGCTCTGTACGGTTTCATGATCATGGGCTCATAAGCCCTAAACCCTAAACCCTAAACCCTAAACCCTAAACCCTTCCTTAAAGTGGGCTCTATAAGGCTACATGGGGTTTCGGAGGCTCGGCCATCTAAGGAGTGAGAGCTGCAGGATGTCACGGGTTGGTGTAGCCAACATACCTTAAACTACCTAGGGTTCAGGGTTTAGGGTTTAGGGTTTAGGGTTTAGGGTTCTTATTATAAACCTTAATATGGAAATTATAGGGACCCTACAGAAAAGTAGGCTTTGGTAGGTTAAGGCACTCATTAAGTTGGTATTGGGAGAAAACGACAGGGACTAGACAGTCCAAAGGAGATAACTGAGATAATAATATCCAGCCTCATGGATACTTCACCATACGCCCCAGACCTCTCCCAAACCCGAACCCTAAAGCCCGAAACCCTTGCCTTTAAATCCACGAGCCCGAAACCACGCAACCCCAAACCGTGGTGCACAACGCGAATGAATTCTAAAGGGAACCCTACAAGCTAACCCATAGAACCAATCAAACCATGCAAAACCCTCTAGAACCCCTACAAAGCTCTCCCGTGTCCTGTATAATTCTAAAGATCCCTCATGAATATCTCCGCAACCCAAGGTATTCTGTAAGCCTAAACCCTAAACCCTAAACCTACTTGGAGGGTCGGGGGACTTAGTCAATAACCCCTGTTAGGATCCCTTTTAGGGTACTTATAACTTATAACTCTACTTAAGCGCCACTTACTAAGTCCTCCGACCCTCCAAGTATAGACTCTAGACTATCGATCCCTTCACAAGTCCTCTCCTTGCAGGGTCCAAGTCGCCTGATCTGCGGCTCCCGACCCAAAGCGACTCACTACGAGGAGCCGAAATAAGGTTTGGGTTCAGGGTGTAGGGTTTAGGGTTTAGGGGTGTAGGGGTTTAGGGTTTAGGGTTTAGGGTTTACGGGTTTACGGGTTTACGGGTTTAGGGTTTAGGGTTTAGGGTTTTAGGGTTTAGGGTTTTAGGGCTTAGGGTTTAGAGTTTTTAGGGTTTAGGGGTTTAAGGGTTTAGGGTTGAGGGCTTAGGGTTTAGGGGCTTGGGTTCAGGGTTCAGGGTGGGTTTAGGGTTTAGGGTTGAGGGGTTTAGGGGCTCTGGCTTGGGATTTAGGGTTCAGGAGCGGAAACTCCTAAGCCCTGCAGTTGTGTGTTTATAGGTTTGCTCCATGGTTTTAAAGTATCTATGGGAGGACTTTATAGATTGAGTCGCTATAAGTTATAAATGTACAGGGTTTCGAAAGGGCTTCATAACGTCGACATTTGGCCATAGATGGGGCTCCGCTAGGGACTCATGGTTTGGTACTTAGCAGCGTCAGCGGTTTAGGGGGTTTAGGGTTTAGGGTATCGGTGCCTGAACGAACAGAATGGGGTGGTTGGGTATACCTGACATGTTCGACTCTTAGACAAGGGTAAACTTTTTCCGTTCTCTATACTATAGCTTTCGGGGTCGGTGGCTTCTTGGAGAAAGCACCTTCGGGCCCCTAAGCCCTAAACCCTAAACCCTAAACCGTGCCCCTAAGCCCTAAACCCTAAAAGGACCTTCGGGGCTTTAGAATTTCAGACCTCGGTGCTTCAGGGCTGTAGTGTGTGGCCCCCGGCCTTCAGCCAGCAGAACTTCTACTTCCTTGTGACATGTGTGCTGTGGACAGGTATGTCTCGTAGCGTTTGGGGCTTAGGCTTAGGGTTGCTTAGGATTTAGGGTTTAGGGTTGTTTGTTGTATAGGGTTTAGGGTTGTATATATCTATACAAAGCATACCGACCAATTGTACTGCATGGCATTACATTACATACGTTGATAAACATGAATATGCCTATGAGGACCGTGCAGAAACTTGGGATCGAGCATGCTCACGTATTCTTGCTGCGATCTTCCAGCTATCCACGGCTGATTTCTACGAGTTGATACAAGTTGTATTAAAGTTATTCTTGGGCTTTTTGTTAAGTTATGCGTAGGTGTTATTGCTGAAAGTACTGCTGCAATTCCAATTGTAGGGCTTGTGCGTAATCGTGCTTGCGAGTGCTCTGTTAGCAGTTGGTGGTCCCATCATTGCGGGTCTTATTGACTGTCTAGAGCCTTCGCCACTTTTTTGGATGATGGACGCTAAACCCTAAACACTCAACCCTAAACCCTAAACCCTAACATAGTCGCGAAACCTCAGCTCCCCTAAACCCTAAACCCTAAACCCTAAACACTACACCCTAAACCCCTAAACCCTAAACCCCGACATGGTCCCGAACCCTCAGCTCGAAATCCTAAAACGGGGAACCCCATACACCCAAAGCCTTCCTGATGCTTTGTCTCCGACCGGAAGGACGTAGGAGCGGCTGGGCAGCTCCGGTTCTTGAGCCTTTTCGAAAAGCTCGGGGCTTAATACAGCCTCCTGAGGTTTAAAAAACCTAAACTCTAAATCCTATTTAGGGCTCTGGCTTTAGGAGAGGCGTCAGGGTCCAAACAATGCTGAAGGTTTGGGGTTTAGGGTTCAGGGTTTAGGGTTTAGGATTAAATAGGGCTCCCTTTCTGGGATTCGGTACCTTTATAAGGAACCTAAGACTCCAAAAAGGGGAAAAAAGGGGCCAACTTGTAAACCCTAAACCCTAAACCAAAACCCTAAACCCTAAACCCTAAACCCTAAACCCTAAACCCTAAACCCTAAACCCTAAACCCTAAACCGTGGGGAGACCCCGAGTTGGATTGAGTAGCCAAGGCCCAGCTGCTGATCTTTTCAGTTTGGAGCTTCGGGTGTAGGACTTTAGGGTTTAG